CAGATATGGCCGGTACTGTTGAATAAAGAAAACAATAGCCAACAGTTCACGGCGGGTGACGCAGTACCGCTGCTCGGCCGGAGACAACACTCTACTCCCATAAGCCACAACGTGCTACACACCGCCCACAACTTGGAAAGCACGCCCCCAATCCCCGTGTTGCTCGCGTCTGTGTCGAGCACGAAAGGTCGAGTAAAATCGGGGTAACTCAACTGCGGGGCCCCCACCAGGGCGTCACGAAGAGTGTTAAAAGCGGCCTCCTCCTCCGGCCCCCAATGAAACTTGACCCCCTTGGCCGTTAAGGCATGTAATGGCTTAGCGATGGAAGCGAACTCCACAACAAACCGGCGGTAATATGAAGTGAAACCAATGAAGCTTCTAACCTCCCCCACCGAGGTGGGAGTCGGCCAGGAGCTGACACAACGCGTTTTGGCGGGATCGGTTGAGATACCTGACCGGCAGACGATGTGACCCAAATATCTCACAGATTGGCGCAGCAAATGGCACTTTTGGGGTTTAAATTTCAAATTGGCTGCGCGCATTTTGAGAAAGACGGCTCGAAGCCTATCAAGATGTTCCTCGAACGTCTTACTGAACACGATAACGTCGTCCAGGTAAATCAAACACACCTCCCATTGCAAGCCAGCGAGAACCAATTCCATCAGGCGCTGGAACGTTGCGGGAGCGGAGTGGAGCCCCATAGGTAACCGATTGAATTGGAAGAGGCCATGCGGCGTTCGGAAAGCCGTTTTGGGCTTGGATTCGTCGTCCAGGGGTAGTTGCCAAAACCCTGAGAGTAAATCCAAGGTGGAGAAGAATCGTGATCCCGCTAGGGCATCCAGAGACTTGTCCATTCGAGGAAGCGGGTAAGCATCGGCCACCGAGATCTTATTTAACCGCCGAAAATCTACGCAGAACCTTAGGGACCCATCGTGCTTTTTAACCAATACTATGGGTGCACCCCAAGGGCTGGTTGAGGGAGAAATAATGTCAGAAGCCAACATGTCATCTACAGCAGATTTGACATGATCCTTTTCGGTGGGACTTAACCGAAAAGGATTTTGGCGGATAGGAGCGTTGTCACCGGTGTCAATATGGTGGCGCAGCAAATTGGTACATCCAATATCGTATTTATGTTTACTGAAGACGTCGGAAAATTCTCGCAATAGGGTGCGCAATTTAGCACGTTGTGCATCGGACAGGTCAGGTGACTCAGCACACAGCGCCTCCAGCCAACCCTCGTCAATGTCTGAGGCCAGTCGCGATTGAGAATCGGTGGCCACCTGGCCAATGATCGGCGTTTCCGCAGGTACCGGAACCGCATGTGCGAACACGTTACCCTGCGAAACCACCGCCGTCCGTGTCCCGACATTGAGGACCGCGATAAACGGGTCCTCATTCCCTTTAACAATAGTCTGGGCCGTCACCAGATCTGGCCCATTCACCCTGGCCCTAGACGGTCCCAGCATAATGCCCCAGTCAGAGACTCCTCTAGCGAACGGTCGACGCAACCGCAGGGGCACTAGCATCTGTGCCCCCGGGGGTACGCGCACCGTTCGAGCAACGAGCGCCTGTACCGTAGCACAGGCAGTATGCAAGGCAGGGGTGGAAGGCAGGAACGTTGTACGTCGGCCCGATGGAAGCTCGATGCATCGCTGGTCAATCAAAATTTTGATGGGCAATTTGGCCAAAAAGTCTGTCCCCAACAGGCACGGAATTACCAGCGAGGAGGAGATGAACACCGGGCCAGATAGTTTAATGTCCCCGATAGAATTTGGCAGATAATACCTAACGAGCCCCCGTTCGCAGCGTAAAACGGTATGTCGACAGGGAGCAACGGGCGACTCTGAACGGGCAGGATATTATAAATCAAATCCAAAATGATAGTCGCTGAAGCTCCCGTATCGACCAGTACCCGTACCTCCACCCCATCAATGTGCCCCGTAACAACGGACGACCCCGCCGACGCAGCTACAACCCGGTGAGCCAACTCGGACCATTGGCCCGGTTGGAGCGCCCTCCCCGACAAGCCGCGACCCGACGCACCAGCACCCAAACCCCGAGAATCGTGTGTCGGACCATGTGAGAGGAAAGTGGGTGTGCGTGCAGGCCGAACATGTGGGGTGCCACGACTTGCCCGAGGATGTTGTGAAGGCTTGTGAAGAGGGCCGTCTGCAGCCCCAGGTCTCGCTCCGCGCTGTCGAGGAGCCCGGCATCCCGACGCCACGTGGCCCCGGAGGCCACAATTGTAGCACACGACGAGCGCTCCAGAAGACTTGGGCTGCTCTCGGTGGCTCGGTACGTCCCGAGCCGGTCGCTCGGCAGATCGCCATCCCGCAGAACGGTCCGCAGCGAAGGCCCCCTCAGATTCGGAAGTGGTCGCCGCCACGGTGTGTTTCGCAGCTGCCTTGTTAGCCTTCCTCCGCTGGGAAATGAGATTGGCATGAATGTGCCTCGCAGCCCGCAATGACGACATGTCCGCATCATCCTGTGCTAGGATGACGAAGTCCAAGTCGTCGGCCAGCAGCAAAATTTTCTCGGCCACCATCGCATCGATCCCCTCTTTGTCCATACGCGGGAAGGCCTCCTTCGCCAATGACAGCAGGGCCGTGCGATACGCAAGTGGTGACTCCTTGTCGCCCTTCTGTCGCTCGTAGAAGAGCTGGCGACAATCGGAAGGCGGCCCATAAACCGTGGCCAGCAGCTGCAGCGCCGACTGAAGCGTGGAGCGTGCCGACTTGGGTGCAGCGGTGAGGGTGCCCAGGGCGTCGCCATCCAGCATCGCCGGGAGAGCACACAGCGCCTCGTTGTCCGTCCACCCAGCCATTTCTTGGTGGGCGAGGAACCGGCGCTGGAACCCACCCCAATCGCCGCCGCTTGCTACGAACACCTGCAGGGCCGGCAGGCATTGTTGAAATGTCGGTTCCGTCCCCGATCCTCTCGCAGCACTCGTACCGTGTCCATGGACAGTATGAGCAATGGCGGACTCTAATGGAGGTCGCGCCGTCAGTGATGCGCTGGTTCAAGCTTGGTCGGTGCTGGCGTCCTCTGGTGGTGACGTGGCAACCCCTGATAGGCAGCCACTGCGACCCACCCCCGCCGATGACGTGGCGCTTGCTGGTTGGGCCCCGTCACCCGCGTGACGAGCTGGGGCCCCTCCCTCGGCCCCTACTGTCCCCGTGGTGGGATTTTCAAGCCTCCTGTCCATCGCAAAGGCGGGAGTTTCTGGCGGGCGTTGTCCATCTTCCCGCCACGTCGCTCCTCCCGGCCCCAGGCGAGTTATCTGCTCCAGCATGGCGGCCGCTGCATACAGGAGCTCCACCAGTCGCGAGTGGGCCAACGCCAACTCGTCAGCCGACGTCCCGAGCCTCTCCGACTGTCCCGCAGGTGTTGGAGCCGGCAGCGGTTGTGCAGGTACGTCGGCGGCGACGTCTTGCACCGCCTCTCCCTCGTCGCCATCCTCTCCTGGGTCTTGGGCACGAGTCGTCCGTCTCGTATCCATGCTTGGACCACTTCTGACGCCAGATGTAGTAGCGCAGTTGCTAATCATTCCACTAGCGCTCACCACACGCACACATGGGCACATGCGCACAAACGCACGCAAACTCATTTTCACACGTACACGTGTAGTAAGTTCGAGGAGACGAGGTCGGAGTTGAGGCACATTCTGTTTATTAACTCAGTGACAAGCACAATAGTTGAAGGGGTAACGGCCCCTTCACCCGTACTATGGGAAACCCACCCTAGTACTAAGCCCTCTGTCCTGTTCCCCAGTCCTCCTCTAATGGGCTACGGGAGGCTGACTGATCTGGCCCTGGCAAGCACAGATCTCGGCACCAGCTAAGCCGGCCTTGCCCTGAGAAGGGCAGAGGTTCGGGAGCTCTTGGGCCGCGCCGCTGGCTTACCCAGCTCGGCCCTGACAAGGGCAGCGAGACAGGGGAGTCCCAGGGCCTAATCTCCGAGTCTTCGATCTTCACTGGTCAGCTTCGTGTCGAACTGCCTCGAGCTCTCTGGCTCCCCGCCTTTTATAGGGATCCCCTCAGAGGGCCGGGGGCGTGGGGGATAACGGATGCGGACGTCGGTGTGACCACCCGTGTGTGTGAGTGCAGACACCCCTGTGTTTGTCGTCCGCCGTTTCTCCCGTAATAACCCCTACACACGCAATAGACATTGTGACGCGCATGCCAGTCGCTTTCCATGTGGACTTTTTCAGAATGAAAAGATTGATGACTGTTTTAAAGGAGAAGGGAGAGATGCCAGTAGAGAGATAAATGGTTACCGATGTCGGCAAGAATGCCACCGAGGATGTGAAGTTGGAAGATGACAAGATGAGCTTAAGATAGGGATATGAGGGACATTTTGGCATGGGGGAGGTGGGTCGTCCGCCAGGGGGCTGTCGATGGAGAAGCAGAGGAAGGGCTGCTGGGTGGAGGGAGGAGTTTGATAAGGCATAGTCATTTAACCATCCGCGGTAATGTATGCCACAAACTCCACGTGATAGTTTTTTTATTTCTCATCTGGGGTAGTTTGCAAAATAAAGGTCCATCATGGTATCTCAAGTTTTCATTTTTATTGGTTACCATACAAGCAAAACACAAGATCAAAATGATTACAATTTCATTTAAAGGCTGAAATAAAAAAGGTCCATGTTGGAATAACGGTTTTGTATTTTTGCCAGTTTAATTGAAACAAAGAAAACTGTTAGTTATCTTGAGCTGTAAATATGACATGGCTTCCATAGCATTTACTGAAATCATGATAATTTTCAGTATTGTTTCGTGTTTTATTTTTGTGTTTTAACTATTACAACATTACTTTTAAATAAAAAAGTGTGCATATAATATTGTATACTTCTAATTAAGCAATAATCATATTGGTCTGCAACTTTCTATATGGCTATATATCATTGGCAGGTGTTTTCATGATTGGAATTGGAAGTGAATTCCTGTGAAAGCAAAGCATTTGTAATCCACACACTTGTGTTCGTTCATCAGGAGCGTGTGTGGCTGCCATCTATCCCTGTGACTTCATCTACTCGGTTGTATGATGAGCGGCCTTCTCTTGATGTGAATGTGACCTAAATATTTTCTGAAGTACAAAAATAGAGGCATCAGATGAGTTAACAGAAATAAACGTAACTTAAGAAAATTAACATGTTTTTATGTTCAGTAAAATCTTATAGTTGACTTGTTATTTATGAGGGTCATGCTTGAAATATACTCTTTATTTGGTTATTTATGCAACACAGAAGAAATCACAGAGAATACACAAATGTAAAAAATCAGAGTGAGCAAATAGGTAAGCAACTTGCTAACACTGCTACCTGTAAAATTATTTCTTTAGTCCTGAATATGAGTATCTAAGGTCTGTGGTGGCTCTTCATGTGATCCACCAATCCTAGCTTCAAGTTTCTTAATTACAGGTGTCCAACAACACATTGGCATTTTATATTTTTTGTTGATGCTCATTTACAATCATGCTGTCGGCACACAAGCTGCTGCTGAATGAACATGACACATCACTAGACAATGAAAATAGGGCTGAAGCACTAGCAGTCACATCATGGGACCTCCTTTGCCAGTACCGCTGTACACCTTTTGGCATCCTCTGGTCTAACACCGTTTTGAGACGAGGCTCAAAAGAAAGCTGTCTCTGGTGTGGACCAATCAGTTTCAAAGACAATGCATATATTATCAGAGTATGTTTTTTTTGTTTTAATTCTGACCACAAGTATTGTGGTTAATGCATACATGTTTCCTTTTAAAAGGTTTCAGTTTGGTGTTTTAACATCTTAACACCTGTTTTGTTGCCAGAAAAAAGGGGAAATCCTATTCTCACACCAGCAGCCTATTGCTTAAATCAGGAGAGTTTGTAAGGATGTAGGGGAAATTATTTGATTGGGTGACATTTTGTTTTGGGTGTGGAACTAATGTAATGTGGATTAATAAAATTACCACCACCATCTTGGATGTAAGCTTTGAATTGTCATGCTATAAGAAAAGTTAATTTCCATCAACCCTCTGTGCTGTAAACTGGTAAAAGATCTGTCCCATTTTATTTAGACCAGGTAAATAAAGCCAAGTGTAATTTAACGTTCGGATGAGGTCAGGAATCATAATTTATTCAAGAAAACATTGGCACGGTTGACATGCATAAAGTGTCAGTCTTTCAAGAAACAATATTTTAGATGTCAATGTTACTCACCATAGATACACAATATGTCTGGAGATGATTCTTTGTATTGGCAGGCAGGATTGGTATGTCCTATATAACAAACATTCTCACTCCGAACGATTTCGCTGTTGGAAATACAGAGTTGTGTTTCTTGTTTCAAAAATGTAAATCGCGTGCTACATTTTTACATTTAAAACATAATATACTGTTCTACTTATATTGTACTACACATCTGTTGCATACACAGATCACGTATTCTCATTTCTCATGAACAATTCCAATTGTGTACTCTGCATAGAAAAAGTTAGTGAACTCATTCATGCACACGTTTTACATTAGTTTGATTTCTGGCCATGGCACACGTTGGTGATGCCTAGTCCTGAGCATCCCCTAGGCAATGGGAGTTGGGCAAATATCTCAACAGAGGACCACAGAGCTTGGGCAATTGTTGACACCGGTTATGGCCGCCTTCCCACTTGTCTGCTTTCCTGCACACAAACACATTGTGTGTGCGCTACTCTGCAGGCAGCTGTCTCATGCGGTTTCGCGTTGTGCGCCGCTTTTTTGGACCGTATCGACAGTACCACATAAAGCGAGAGAAACCTGTACTGTCATGAATTTGGCAATCGTGAATTTAACACTGGAAATGCGCAAAAGTGTGATAAACTCCACATGAATCGGCCCCTACATATCGAATGGAATTAACTGAGTTTTATTAAATACTTTACCTGGAGCTGCACTCCTTAATACCTGCAAAGTTTCAGACAATGTAGAGAAATAAATTATCTTAGTTTACATTTATTAATAAAATGCAACTTCCCAGAATTCAATCTACCCACAATATTCAGAGCTATGACAGGACAAGATCAAGACCATTGCATGTAGTACTTATTGTTAATTGTGTCTATCATATGGAGAATATAACTCCTGAAATAAGCAGATAACATTTCAACTGTTGCACAGAACGAGCAACAGAGATGGGGGACTGCCCAGTTCTCATTTTAAGATGGGGAAACTAATGGATGACTGAAAAGTAAAGTTAACTATAAGCGTGTGTTATAATCTGGCTGGAATTTCCTATATCGGATTTCATTTGGTTCTCCTGATGCACTGACATAGTGAATCCGGTCATCTAAGAGGGTCAGACAATCAACATTTCATCTTGCTACACAGCGAACCTTTAACATTTGCAGGCATACGTCCCTGGACAAAGGCGTGAATATTAATACTCAAAGCTCATGAGGAAGATAGGATTAGGGGACATAAACATTTAGGATTAAACATATAACCTGTAAGTATATATTAACGATCTTGATTTGAAGCTTTCGTGACTGCAGGAATCCATACTCTTTGGTTCTTTCGATAAAGTCACATAGATATAAAATAAAATAAATCACGACGTTTCGGGTGCAACACAAGCGTCCGTCATCAGGTGGGAAAGCATGGTCTGCTGCTGAGGCAGACTGTTTTAAAAAGGTTTGAAATGGGTGTAGCCCAAGGGTCATAAAGAAGTGGCCGGGGCTAGTGATGTTAATGTGAGAAAGTAGCATGTTACTGTAAGATAGGAAAGTGGCCTCCTCGACGAGGGCACAGAAGTGGCTATGTTAATGTGAGAGATTAGCATGTTAATGTGAAATCGAAGAGTGGTGCAATCCAAAGCGGCCTCCTAGACGTTCGCCATCTGGCCACATGGCCTGCCAGCACTGAACCAATTTCTCAACCACATCAATTCCGTATACCCATATATCAAATTCACCATGGAAGTGGAAAAAGATGGCAAGCTACCATTCCTGGATGTTTTGATCGAGAAGCGACCTGATGGCTCGTTGGGACATTTGGTCTACAGGAAAGCCACCCACACGGACGCCTATCTAAAGCCTGACTCCCACCACCATCCAGCCCAGAAGAATTCCCTCATCAAAACACTACACCATAGGGCCCGTTGCATCTCCAACCAGCACCACCTAGCAAGTGAGTTGCAGCACTACACCAAGCCCTCAGGATGAATGGATACTCGGACCGTACAATCCGCAAAGCTGTCTCCCCAGCCATGCGTAGACAACCTTCTGAGGATCCAACCAAAACCACATTACCGTACATAGCAGAGGTTACCAAAAAGATTTCCAAAATCTTAAACAAACACAAGATCCAGGTTCGTTTCAACACAGTACACAAAATCTGTGATTTAATCCCATCTGTAAAGGATGTGATCCTGACATGCAATACCCTGGTGTCTACAAACTGAGTTGTGGTTGCGGCAGCAGTTACATTGGGGAAACGAAACGACATGTCTCAGACCGCGTTCGTGAACACAAGGCAAATCTGAAACACGCTAGGACCAATACCTCTGCCGCTGCCGATCATTGTTTTAATGTTGTGGGCTCGCACGAAATGGATTTTTCAAAGACGGAGGTACTCTGCAAACCTACCGGCTACCTTCAGAGATTTGTTCATTAAGCCATCCAGATATATAAACACAGCCACAACTGCAACCGAGAGGATGGGTACAAGCTGTGCAATCATTGGAAGTACGTTATTAACCGGGTAAAGTCTTGACTGACTGTGATATTTCCATCCTACCTGCCTATGTCAGCTGTTATTTCCGACTCTCTGTGTGTGTCTTCTCTCTCTATGCCTCTCTCTTAGATCTCTCATGCTCAAATGTCATTTGCATTGCACTCTCATGCCTTTGGATTGCACTTTCATGCTCACATGTCCTTGGGATTGCACTCTCATACTCACATGCCCTTTGGATTGTACCCGTTGGGTTGCACTCATGCCTTTGCATTGCACCACTATTCGATTTTAAATTACAATGATAATCTCTCACATTAACATAGCCACTTCCATCCCCTCGTCCAGGAGGCTGCTCTCCTATCTTACAGTTACATGCTAATTTCTCACATTAATATCACTAGCACCGGATACTTCTTTATGACCCTTGGGCTACACCCATTTCAAATCTTTTTAAAACAGTCTGCCTCAGCAGCAGACCATGCTTTCCCACCTGATGACGGACGCTTGTGTTGCGCCCGAAACGTGATTTATTTTATTCTATACCTACGTGACTTTACTGAAAGAACCAAAGAGTATATATTAACGAATATTGTATCATATTACTAACTTACCTTTAATAATGACTAACATAATCATTTTAAAAAGTGCAAGCATCAATAAAGAAATGTAGATTACACGGTATTTTAAAAAATCATCTTAAATTATGTCACTGTCTTTTCACGTAATGACTTTGGTCAATAGTAAAACAGCCCTCACGATCCGCGCAGCTACCATGCGGCAGTACAGTATGTACTTGTCGGTTATATTTAAAAGGCAATCTAAGAATTACTGTACTCAAATACTAAGAGTGTATTTGCAGACCCTTGGGGATTCGTGTGTTAAATGTTTAGCAGGACAAAAACATCCCGATTAAAGTTTCACTGATGTGATGCACATGTAATTCAATAGGGGAACAGACTCGGGAGCATAGTAGGGTACCACAAATAATATTTTTGGATGGCCTACACTGTAGCCCGATGGTCACAATCTGTACACTATCCAGGCTCAAACTTGCTTGACTTCCAAGTTCTGATGAAATTGAATGCCTTGTTGGTGACTTGGTGATATGTTGCATAGGTATGTCGTATATTAATTTTAAAAAATGCAAATAATTCCACTCGTGATATGAAATGTGGCAATAATAAAGCATAAAAAAAACGAGAAGCATAACTCACTTGTCAATGTTTTTCTTTTTCGCAAACGACAGAGCAGGCCTGCAACAGCCAAAACGACAGGAGCTAAGATGATCAGAGTTCCTGTGATGGCTGGGACCGTCACGTTCTGCCTGTCGCGGATTGCCCCGGTTCGGTGATTATCGGGAAGCGCCGAGTTTAACGGATCATCCCTTGGTTCCGTAGAAGATGTAAATGGCTTGGCTGTTACACGTCGGAATGCAAAACGTTGGTCGCACAGAGTCTTCATGTTCACTATGCCTGATGAGAAATGGCGACAGTAACACGCACCCTATCATAAAATGTGTAATGTAAGTACAGTATGTACGTGTTAACCATTTATATAGTATAGGCTTTAGTGCTATTCAGAAATTCCCATGCCGTATTACATTATATTAGCTGCTTTGAGTTTGCAACCAGTCTGCCTGTTGGGTTTATGCACGGTGGATTGTGTGAGATCACAAATTGTTGAAAGATCTGAACACAACATCATCACCAGTGGGGTCCAGTGGCAGACAACAGACAGGATGCCATGGCTGGGTCATGTAGCCCACATGTACAGCTACTGCTTGCTGAAGAAGCATCTATTTGGCTGGATAGAAGGGTCTAAAGGGGCATGGCACAATCTAAAATATATGTTTCTGTTTGGCAAGATATACATTTTACGTTTACTCTTCATCTCCTGAGACTCATAAGGTTACAATGACCTCTCTCCATCTTCTCCTGTCCCTGGCTGCATGCTGTGTCTCTCTGCATGAGATGTTCATCAAACCAAGCTAGATGGGCCGATGTGGTCCAGAACTTGGGATAAAATTAAACTGGCCTACAATTCGTAGCAGGGTGGTGTCAAGATCGGCCTCTGTGAAGAAGGCTCAGGAAAGATGTTGCGAGACCAGTTGACACAATCACCCTCCAGCAACCGTGGAGGGTGGAGATGCTTGCAAAAATTATCCGTCTCGTATCCATGCTTGGACCACTTCTGACGCCAGATGTAGTAGCGCAGTTGCTAATCATTCCACTAGCGCTCGCCACACGCACACACGGGCACATGCGCACAAACGCACGCAAACTCATTTTCACACGTACACGTGTAGTAAGTTCGAGGAGACGAGGTCGGAGTTGAGGCACATTCTGTTTATTAACTCAGTGACAGGCACAATAGTTGAAGGGGTAACGGCCCCTTCACCCGTACTATGGGAAACCCACCCTAGTACTAAGCCCTCTGTCCTGTTCCCCAGTCCTCCTCTAATGGGCTACGGGAGGCTGACTGATCTGGCCCTGGCAAGCACAGATCTCGGCACCAGCTAAGCCGGCCTTGCCCTGACAAGGGCAGAGGTCCGGGAGCTCTTGGGCCGCGCCGCTGGCTTACCCAGCTCGGCCCTGACAAGGGCAGCGAGACAGGGGAGTCCCAGGGCCTAATCTCCGAGTCTTCGATCTTCACTGGTCAGCTTCGTGTCGAACTGCCTCGAGCTCTCTGGCTCCCCGCCTTTTATAGGGATCCCCTCAGAGGGCCGGGGGCGTGGGGGATAACGGATGCGGACGTCGGTGTGACCACCCGTGTGTGTGAGTGCAGACACCCCTGTGTTTGTCGTCCGCCGTTTCTCCCGTAATAACCCCTACACACGCAATAGACATTGTGACGCGCATGCCAGTCGCCTTCCATGTGGACTTTTTCAGAATGAAAAGATTGATGACTGTTTTAAAGGAGAAGGGAGAGATGCCAGTAGAGAGATAAATGGTTACCGATGTCGGCAAGAATGCCACCGAGGATGTGAAGTTGGAAGATGACAAGATGAGCTTAAGATAGGGATATGAGGGACATTTTGGCATGGGGGAGGTGGGTCGTCCGCCAGGGGGCTGTCGATGGAGAAGCAGAGGAAGGGCTGCTGGGTGGAGGGAGGAGTTTGATAAGGCATAGTCATTTAACCATCCGCGGTAATGTATGCCACAAACTCCACGTGATAGTTTTTTTATTTCTCATCTGGGGTAGTTTGCAAAATAAAGGTCCATCATGGTATCTCAAGTTTTCATTTTTATTGGTTACCATACAAGCAAAACACAAGATCAAAATGATTACAATTTCATTTAAAGGCTGAAATAAAAAAGGTCCATGTTGGAATAACGGTTTTGTATTTTTGCCAGTTTAATTGGAATAAAGAAAACTGTTAGTTATCTTGAGCTGTAAATATGACCTGGCTTCCATAGCATTTACTGAAATCATGATAATTTTCAGTATTGTTTCGTGTTTTATTTTTGTGTTTTAACTATTACAACATTACTTTTAAATAAAAAAGTGTGCATATAATATTGTATACTTCTAATTAAGCAATAATCATATTGGTCTGCAACTTTCTATATGGCTATATATCATTGGCAGGTGTTTTCATGATTGGAATTGGAAGTGAATTCCTGTGAAAGCAAAGCATTTGTAATCCACACACTTGTGTTCGTTCATCAGGAGCGCGTGTGGCTGCCATCTATCCCTGTGACTTCATCTACTCGGTTGTATGATGAGCGGCCTTCTCTTGATGTGAATGTGACCTAAATATTTTCTGAAGTACAAAAATAGAGGCATCAGATGAGTTAACAGAAATAAACGTAACTTAAGAAAATTAACATGTTTTTATGTTCAGTAAAATCTTATAGTTGACTTGTTATTTATGAGGGTCATGCTTGAAATATACTCTTTATTTGGTTATTTATGCAACACAGAAGAAATCACAGAGAATACACAAATGTAAAAAATCAGAGCGAGAAAATAGGTAAGCAACTTGCTAACACTGCCACCTGTAAAATTATTTCTTTAGTCCTGAATATGAGTATCTAAGGTGGCTCTTCATGTGATCCACCAATCCTAGCTTCAAGTTTCTTAATTACAGGTGTCCAACAACACATTGGCATTTTATATTTTTTGTTGATGCTCATTTACAATCATGCTGTCGGCACACAAGCTGCTGCTGAATGAACATGACACATCACTAGACAATGAAAATAGGGCTGAAGCACTAGCAGTCACATCATGGGACCTCCTTTGCCAGTACCGCTGTACACCTTTTGGCATCCTCTGGTCTAACACCGTTTTGAGACGAGGCTCAAAAGAAAGCTGTCTCTGGTGTGGACCAATCAGTTTCAAAGACAATGCATATATTATCAGAGTATGTTTTTTTGTTTTAATTCTGACCACAAGTATTGTGGTTAATGCATACATGTTTCCTTTTAAAAGGTTTCAGTTTGGTGTTTTAACATCTTAACACCTGTTTTGTTGCCAGAAAAAAGGGGAAATCCTATTCTCACACCAGCAGCCTATTGCTTAAATCAGGAGAGTTTGTAAGGATGTAGGGGAAATTATTTGATTGGGTGACATTTTGTTTTGGGTGTGGAACTAATGTAATGTGGATTAATAAAATGACCACCACCATCTTGGATGTAAGCTTTAAATTGTCATGCTATAAGAAAAGTTAATTTCCATCAACCCTCTGTGCTGTAAACTGGTAAAAGATCTGTCCCATTTTATTTAGACCAGGTAAATAAAGCCAAGTGTAATTTAACGTTCGGATGAGGTCAGGAATCATAATTTATTCAAGAAAACATTGGCACGGTTGACATGCATAAAGTGTCAGTCTTTCAAGAAACAATATTTTAGATGTCAATGTTACTCACCATAGATACACAATATGTCTGGAGATGATTCTTTGTATTGGCAGGCAGGATTGGTATGTCCTATATAACAAACATTCTCACTCCGAACGATTTCGCTGTTGGAAATACAGAGTTGTGTTTCTTGTTTCAAAAATGTAAATCGCGTGCTACATTTTTACATTTAAAACATAATATACTGTTCTACTTATATTGTACTACACATCTGTTGCATACACAGATCACGTATTCTCATTTCTCATGAACAATTCCAATTGTGTACTCTGCATAGAAAAAGTTAGTGAACTCATTCATGCACACGTTTTACATTAGTTTGATTTCTGGCCATGGCACACGTTGGTGATGCCTAGTCCTGAGCATCCCCTAGGCAATGGGAGTTGGGCAAATATCTCAACAGAGGACCACAGAGCTTGGGCAATTGTTGACACCGGTTATGGCCGCCTTCCCACTTGTCTGCTTCCCTGCACACAAACACATTGTGTGTGCGCTACTCTGCAGGCAGCTGTCTCATGCGGTTTCGCGTTGTGCGCCGCTTTTTTGGAACGTATCGACAGTACCACATAAAGCGAGAGAAACCTGTACTGTCATGAATTTGGCAATCGTGAATTTAACACTGGAAATGCGCAAAAGTGTGATAAACTCCACATGAATTGGCCCCTGCATATCGAATGGAATTAACTGAGTTTTATTAAATACTTTACCTGGAGCTGCACTCCTTAATACCTGCAAAGTTTCAGACAATGTAGATAAATAAATTAGCTTAGTTTACATTTATTAATAAAATGCAACTTCCCAGAATTCAATCTACCCACAATATTCAGAGCTATGACAGGACAAGAACAAGAGCATTGCATGCAGTACTCATTGTTAATTGTGCAACAGTGGCTATCATATGGAGAATATAACTCCTGAAATAAGCAGATAACATTTCAACTGTTGCACAGAACGAGCAACAGAGATGGGGGACTGCCCAGTTCTCATTTTAAGATGGGGAAACTAATGGATGACTGAAAAGTAAAGTTAACTATAAGCGTGTGTTATAATCTGGCTGGAATTTCCTATATCAGGTTTCATTTGGTTCTCCTGATGCACTGACATAGTGAATCCGGTCATCTAAGAGGGTCAGACAATCAACATTTCATCTTGCTACACAGCGAACCTTTAACATTTGCAGGCATACGTCCCTGGACAAAGGCGTGAATATTAATACTCAAAGCTCATGAGGAAGATAGGATTAGGGGACATAAACATTTAGGATTAAACATATAACCTGTAAGTATATATTAACGATCTTGATTTGAAGCTTTCGTGACTGCAGGAATCCATACTCTTTGGTTCTTTCGATAAAGTCACATAGATATAAAATAAAATAAATCACGACGTTTCGGGTGCAACACAAGCGTCCGTCATCAGGTGGGAAAGCATGGTCTGCTGCTGAGGCAGACTGTTTTAAAAAGGTTTGAAATGGGTGTAGCCCAAGGGTCATAAAGAAGTGGCCGGGGCTAGTGATGTTAATGTGAGAAAGTAGCATGTTACTGTAAGATAGGAAAGTGGCCTCCTCGACGAGGGCACAGAAGTGGCTATGTTAATGTGAGAGAT